TTGTTGGCTTCCTCTTCATATGCATTCCCTGTGCCATTCTGTACATAGGATGAACCAGAACCAAGGCCATACAAATGACCACAATATTTGGCATCATCAATATGATCTTCAAAGAACATCTAAAAAGGAATTTTGAAGAAAAAAAAAAAGATAATTTTAACCAGAAGGTACCATTTGTAATTTATATTTCAGCAATGTAAGTACTGACTGTTCATTAACTATAATGACAGCTCTTTTCTATGGTGTTCCTTTGAGACCACACATTGGATGAACAAGATTAATGTCCTGAAGAAGTACAGAGCTCAAAAGAAACCAAAGAGACTACAAAAAATTTTATCAGTGCATGTCTTTTCCATTAACATTTAGAACACTTTTATGAGAATTTGTAATCATGGAAAAATGACAGACATTTTAACAATACTCAACAGTAAGAATGAATGAAAATAGCCATAATGGCAGGGAAAAAAAGTTTAGGTTTATAAGTTGCCTTGAATCTATATGCAAGGCTGAGCTGGCTACAAATAATCAAATCCTAAACATGTTACGGACAGTAAAATCTGAACATTCACACTAGGTTACTGTCCTCCAAGAAGCCAAGAAAAATAAAGATAAATTAGTACCAGAAATCCACCATTAATTAAATCACTTAGACATTTTTAAAATGCAAAGCTGAAAATCCAAAAGGTGGTTTTGATTCTCTAATAAAACACTGGGAAGGAATATAAAACAAAATATTTACATGTCATGAATAGACAGTCTGAATCACTTCTGAATCAATGCTACTTGGCAAAACAAGTTTAATGCTTTCTATTATTAATACATTTCTACAAAAAGTTTTAAATTCCCAGTCTCAGTCAACACTTTAATGTCTATAAGGATATACTTGAAAGAATTCCAAAGCAAGTATTTTGCAAAAGGGACAATTTTTTTGTACGTAAAAAAGTCCATCCTATTTTGTTTTTGCAGAACCAGTTTTCTTTTGTGTTTACCAATAGTGAGGTACACCTGTGCATATCACTTAATTAGATAACCTAAGAGTAGACTTGGGATCATTAATTTCATTCTTCCATACCTAACTTTTTTATATTTAAGGAACTGATATCCTGCCTTTTGCCATTTAAGGAGAGTCTTCCTAATGTGGTTTTTGATTGAACTACTACTTCAGATTTACTTAGAATTCAAAAACTCTTTGTAACTCAATCCAGTAAAAAGCATGAACTCTATGAAATCTTCAAAGCACTGAAGGATGGCATGAGCAAATATTTTTACAACCAGTTTAAAGCCTAAGAGAAGGTCATGCTAGGGGAAATCTAATATACAGATTCCTTGACTTGGTAGAAGCAGCCACTGATGTAGTCCATAGAAAGAACCTTGGAATTCTCCCACTAGGAATGTGTTTGACATTGGATAAAAGTTACTAGCTTGTTTTCTCATCTGAGAAATAATACGGTTGGACCTACATGACTTCTAAGGTAGTTTAAATTTTTGATTCTATGAAGAGCTTGTTATCTTGTTGAACTACATTTCAAGATGACTTATTTTTGAATACTTCATTCAAGTGCAGTGGATGTAATTTATATGGTACTTCTAATTGTATGTTTATTTAGTAAGTACTTATAAATGCCCCAAAACTTTTGCCATAAGATTTTTAATGTTCTCAACCTAACAACCAACTGAGAAAAAGGCACTGATGTCTTCATACTTCTCTCATTTTGAAAAAGGCCATTCCTGTGAGCAGTGAATCAGATCCGGCCTGATGCTGTGGTCCTATTCGTTCCAGCTCCAATTGTTCAGCGACTTCTTGTAATCCACCCTAGAAGAAGTAAAAATTGCTCATCAAAGAAAAAAACACTGCAATGCCTGAATTCACAATTATAAACTTAGACACTGACCAAAATATGAATAAACTTTAGTATGTAAAGACAAGCCTTACGAAGATTAGGGGGAAAAAAACAAGTGAATTACTAATGTATTTGTTGAATGTGGGTGAAGTTTATAATTTCACAGAAAATGGGATCCTAATTGGGAAAATTTATCTTCATCCTGTTTTAAGGCATGTGACAGACAAATAACTTTCCTAAATATAATGGGGAAGCAGATCATACAGAGGGTAATATTTACCAAGTACATTCATAGACTATCAGTCCAGCAATAATTATAAAACTGAATAGCTAGGTATAAATAGTTTAAAATTTTCTTAAACTTCCCACCAATCCATCTCTAACTGGTTTTCATCTAAATAATTTTTACAAAACAAAGCCATTATGAGTAATCAAATCATTAAGCATTCACTAAATGCTTAACTATGGTTTTGTTAGAAAGAAAGAATATAAGCATACAACTCCTGAAAAGGTCTGCTATAACCTGCCTATGTTAATATTGCTAAGATTAAGAAAGCTAATGAGAGGAGAAAGAAAAGAAGAGAAAGAGAAAAAAGAAAGAAGCAAAGAGAGAAAGGAAAGAGGCAGGGGGAATAAAGGGGGGAGAAACAAACACCACAACAAACAAAAATAAAGAAATTTCTCTCTAAATTGTTAAGGCCTCTACTAGCTAACTAGCCCTTCTCTGCATCACAGCTTGAAACAGTGCTTGCACAGCAGTTGTTTCTGTGCTGAAAATAGCATGAGGATTAGGTATCATTAGCAGCTGCTTAGTAGAACAAAATAGAACTGAACAGAACACTATGGCCGACTATTGGTCAAAAAGCACCTTTGTCATTAACCTAAATTTTACCATAGCAGCTCACTCAAAACATACACATAATGAGCAATAATTTGGCTCTCTGTTCCTGAAAAGTGTCACTGTACAGACATGTCCATTTTAAAAAACATTTACCAAGATAGATTAAAACAGGCAGGCCTTGGATTCTCAGCATGCAATATACTTCACTGGGTGGGCTGAGTTTCTATAGGAAGGATACCCTGCTGCAAGTTCATTTGCTAGGAATCCCCTCAAATTACACAGAATTCTGCTACTACAAACATAATCTTTCTTAATTTCCCTAGTTATATGCTAACTATATCCTGTTATTAGAAGCAAATAAACTTTGGCCAAAAGACTGCTTCTCTTACAATTTTCAGTTCATCTGTTTAGAGGAAAGTTTTCCTTATTCAATTCCAATATTGCTTCTTTCTGCTTAAAAACAAAGTTCTTAAAGTCCTTATCATCCCTAAAAGTGTAACTTTACCTGCACTTCTAAAACCTGGTGAGGAGAAAACCGGATCAACCTTGGTTTCACTAAAGAAAGAAGGGACAATGTAGGTTCTATAAAGCAACCACACTGCCTAAATGTGTTTTTGTTTCTTATTTTAGTTATAGCTTAAAATACATATACCTAAAAAAGATAAGAGCACTATATCCCCGAGGCCTGTGCCACCATAGTGAATCAGTTTTTGAAATGAAGGAGCACGTTCCCTTATAAAAGAAACTTTCCTTTTGAAAGAATTAATATTTAGAAGTACAAAATTATTATACACACATTAAGCAGTGTCAGAATGTTAGCTACTGTCTAGGCAGGACCCGCACATTTACTACAGCACTTATCCATACCACATTAACATCTTTTGCCCAGGGGAAAAAAAAACCTTTTAGTGATGTAATTTAATCCTAAGAACATTATCCCATGTCTAGAATTGATAAAATAATCTCTAGCCAAGATAGGCCAAAGGGAAAACTCTTTTTCTGCCATACCACTAAATACATCTGCATATCGCTGGCCACCTCAGATCTGATCTTATGAGGACAAATTATGTGTGTGTTGGGAGAAGAGTGAGAACCTGTACTTCTGTGCATATGACAGCCTCATTAGTCCTCACACTTCTGTTCTGGTTCATGATTTTCAATCTGACAAGCAATGACAAAAATCTGACCCTTAGCTTTAATTTTGTTGAAAACTTATTCTGCCAAGATATACTGAAGCTTTGAAGAAGGATTTCCTATCAAAGATTATTTATGCAAGAAAAAGAATCACATGAGGAGATAATATAACTTCATTTAACATAAAACTTAAAAATACGATTTAAAACAATGTATCAGCCTAGGATCTTATGTCAGTCACTTGGTCTGAATAGCGTGCTAATTGTAGACAGATGCCACCTGAAGCCTTACTTTGAGATTTTTGCAGCTCTTCATGAGGTACTTCACATCATAAATGACAGGAAAAAATAATCGAAGGATCTCAAAGAAGTCAAGTTCTTCTTCAGGCAAGTTAGAGTTGGTCAGGATTTTGATTAAATAGCCAAAGTCATAACCACTACAAAAGGGTTAAAAGAATACAGAAGAGAGACACATAAATACCATAGACGTGAAAAAAGTGTTTTTCTGATACAAATTTTAAGCAAGTCACACTAGAGGCAAAAAGGAAATCAATCCAAAAAACAGTGCACACAGGAATGGAGAAAACATATTTACAAATGCAATGGGAAAATGCCATCATCTTACACAAAATGCTAAGAACTTGTCACTTTATCATTCAGAGTTAGCAATATATAGATCTATACTGCCAACCCAAGCCTGCAGTCACTAAAACACTATTTTGCTGATGCTTGAATACAGAAACACCGAGTATCAAATTCCCCTTAGATGTCTCAAAAAAAATTATGGAAATGGAGAAATAAAGATGACTGGAAACTTGGCCAAAAATGTCAAAAAGCAGTAAGAGAACTCACATTCGGAAGGCAAAAGTAATGCAAATCTTCCCATCTTTTACCTAAGGTGGCTATATACTTCAAAAGTCCAAGGAATACATCGCTAACAAAGAATTTTCACCTCCCTTAAGTGACTTTATTAAAGGAAGTGAACAGTTCTCCTTCCTCACAATTCTGTTCCTATGTCAGTATGGCTCCCCAAGAGATATTTATTAACGGGAATGTTGCATAAGAAAGACAATAAGATACTAAAGAATGAGAACTACTATCCTGGATAATAAAATACAAACTCCCACACTCTCAAATCAAGATTTCCTATCCCTATCGTTTGGCCTTTTCCCCAGCTCTCTGGCTGCCTACGCTCCCGGGCCAGTCACATGCCCCTTACACCCTTTTCCCTTGTCCTCCTTGCCTTCAAGAACCTCTGACAGGAAGCCCCCGCCTCAAGGCCTTATGGAGCACCAGGTGTTTTCTTGTACCATCCTTTAAAGTACATGCATTGTTTTCTCCACTGGCAGGAATCACATTTTGAAAATATCTTTTTTTCCTTGCACATAGTTGGAACTCAATAAATATTTCATGAGAGATGCTATTAATCCATCTTTTGGGAGAGATACAAAATAAAATTCTATTTAATGTTCAGAATTTGATTTATAAAATAAAGCTTTCTTTTGTATCCACATGTCTAGGAAAGTAAAAAGAACCAAAAACAAAATGCTTCTTATATTAGCAGAGTCTTAAGTCGTATCTCCTGAGGTGGTTCAAGTGGAGGAGAAAGAGAAAGGAAAGATGATAGGTGAGAATGAGTACACTCAGTACCTTCAACTCAAACATTACTGCTTAATGCTACGGTAAAGTTGACTATACGAACAGTCAACAGTCCTTCACTATAACCATTCCACAAGTGAGAAGTGGAAACTCTGAAGTGTGCAGGAGCCTCGTATTTAAAAAGAAATATGTGAAGTGGATCAAGTATTAAAGCATTAACACCTACACAATGCTTTTCAAGAACAGAACAAAAGGCCAAAGAAAATCATTCCCTAGATTACTTTTAGTCCTTGGATTGTCTGTTTAGTTTACTTAGATAGGAAAACTCTTCCTCACACCTGGAAGTCTATTTTTACAAAATGGAACTAATTTCCTTTCTAGAAATTCCCTTAAATCATCCAGTTTTATTTTATATAATAAAGAATTAAAAACCACCATTTACTGAGAATATACTGTGTATGAAGCACTTTACCTGAGGCTTTAAAGATGTTGTTACTGACCATTAAAACAAGTCTGTAGGATATTTCTTCTAAGGATGCTTTCCCCATCACCCCATTTTGAAAAAATTAAAATCCAGCCACATACATCCCTAGTATTTTCGTTGCTGTTTTATTTTTCTTGATAGCATTTATCACTAACAAATTGCAATATATATTTCATCATTTTAAAAAATCGTCTGCCTACCCCCACCAGAATGGAGACTCCATGAGGACAAAGATTTTAGTCTGTTTTATGCACAGCTTAATTTCTAGAATCTTATCACAGTGTCTGGCATATGTAGACACTCAGTAAATACATATTTTTTAATGAATGATTTCCCTTGTAAATCATTAAAACTGAGTCTTAGAAATGTTAAATAACCCTAAGTACACTGATTCCAAATGACACTGCTGGATTTAAACCAAATTCTTTCCATTTTTCCAGGCTGTTTTCTTTCCCCTGTGCAACACTGCCTCTCACAGGCTGAAATGGATCCCATATTATTAAATTAATCTTTAAGTAGGCCAACATCAGCCTCGTAGGAGTCAGAAGACAGCTACATGGCAGTCAATTCCTTCTAGAACTAAGCCTGAAATTGCTGACACAGTGACCCAAGCAAGGGTGAAGCAGGTATGAGATGGAAACACAAATGCCATTTTCAGTGCAATCTTTTTACCTATGAAATGACAACCATTTGACCCCTTCACAGAGGACCACTCCCGAAGTCATAAGAAGTTCTGCAAAGTACTGGGTCTCAATTCCTTCCTCCTCATGTTTTTTAAACTGGATGCCAGATGTTGTTAGTAGCTCTATAGAGTCCTGGGCATACATGTCCTCCCTGGCAGGAGAAAGAGAAAGACAATGTTCAAAAGTGCCATTACTTCAGACAAACTGTTTTTCTCCTGCTTCTATCAACAACTATGGTGCCAGAAACCAGAGAGAGGATTGGCTTGCCTGAGTGTTCCAGTGCTTTACGTATACACGAGGAAAACACAATTTAAATATAAGGGTCACTCTTTCAGAAAAGAGTGTCCAAACAATAAATAATCACTCGGTCTGATGGTGAAATTCTAATCTTTATGATCAACTCAATTTCATTAGCCTTTCGTACATTAAATAAATTTGGGTTTGAAAAAAGGATCTTCTACTCACCAGGGGCTACCACCACAGAGTGACAGACAAGTTCTTTTCAAGGGCTCTCAGTCTTGGCAGCCACCGTAACGCTGCCAGATGGCACTGCAGCCACAGCTGTCAGGGGCTAGGCCATCTCCCCTGCTCGCAGCAGCACCAGAAGGAGATCAAGTGCAAAAGATCTCACTTGGCTGAGTTAAACTACATTCCATCTCAAAGAAAAAAGAGATGGCTCCTCCCACAAATGATGAGCCTTTCAAATAGCTCCAATAAATAATAAACTGTTTAAAAGTAAGGCCTCTGCTATAACAGCAATAATTTCTTCTTCCAACAATACTAATCCTAGAATACTGCCTTCTAAAATCAAGCCAGGAAATCTAAATATAAAATAATCCTTCAAGATTTCACTTAAGCCAAAAAAGGAAGCCATCTCTAATTTCCAAGCACAAATACAAGTGTATCCAAAATATTAAAATATTAAATCAAAAAAGGTTATAAAAATGCTGATATGTTTTTGAGAGTAAATGAAAAGGTATTCTGTGAACTTGCCATTTATCTTTTTGTACACTTTTGAAATTGTAAGAATACACTTAGCCAAAGAAATTTCTAATAAACATTTTAACAAGACTAGTGAGACCATAAGGAATATTTCACTTGGGCCAAAAAGTATCCTTATGGTTTATCCTCTAGAAATCAATTTACTTCTGTATGTCTGAAAAGTAACAAAGGTAACAAGTGAAATATTTAAAAACAGAGGGGAACCACAACAATCATTTTAAGTCAAAATTTTCCCTGGAGAATCTTTTAGGAAAGGTACCTGAAGAAATCCCAATAAAAGTTTTTTTGTTTTTTTTTTTGTTTTTTTTAGTTAAAGCACATATATTATTGGCTTTGCTATACTAAAAATGTGTACCTTCAAAAATTAGATTCCCACTCATCAGGTCCCTGTGGTCACACTGAGGCATGTTGCAGCAACCACAAACAACCGAGTATCACAGATTCTTCCCCAGACTCACATTATCCTTGGCCATATGTTCAATTTACTGTTATTTTAGTTTGTTGTCTCCTCCCAATCAGAACATAAGCTTCAAGAGGACAATGATTTTTGTCTGTTTTGTTCGATGTTTCAGTATTTCCCAAACCTGCCCAGTGATATTCACCTACAGATCTTACCAAAAATTCCCAAGTCCCACTGAAGTCCCAGACCTGCTGAATCACAATCCCCAGGTGAGAGATCTGGATGAGTACCTCAGGTATCTTATAATCAATTAAGTTTGATATACAAAGATGTACGTATAAATGTCTTTTGTTGTTTATTTTTTTTCCTGCACAGTTCATGTAGCTCAATTGTACTCACACCTACATTTCATAGGACTGAATATTTTACCATTTGGAATCAATCTCATGCTTTATAATCCCTAACACATAAGACAGAGACAGTTGGAAACCCCATACAGGTAAGCAAAATCTGCAGATGGGATGAAGAAAACTTCCTGGGCAAGGGCAACTTCCTAATGTTATGACTCGATTCTCCAAATCTAGACTGCCTTTCCAAAGGCATCCATTTCAAGTTTTTAAACCTTTCTGTTCTGCCTTCCCGACCTGCAAAAAATCCTAGCAAATGCAGGGAAATAATATTAAAATACACTAACCTCGAAAAGGAATTAAAATATTGTTTAGTCAAAATATACAGATGCTGGCATTGCCTTACTCATTATAAGATTAGTGTATTCAGGACAGTAATGAACAGTAATATGATCTCTCCCAACACTGAAGTTTATCAACTACTGAAATTTAAGGTAGCAAAATATCCAGCAAGAACTGAACATTAATGAAAACCACACACAAATCTCTATAAAAGGTTTTCCAAAAAAGCAGAGATGCATGGCTACCCTTCTCATGTAATATCCCAAAGATGCAAACTAACTAGGTAGGTAGAAGTCAGTAAATGTATCGAAATTACCTCTTTCTACAAATACTTAGCCTATTACACAATTCACATTTCTAAACACAAAGGTTAAACTTTACAATTTGGAAACGCCCTCCAACCTCAAATTACTCTTGGCTTAACACACAAGACACTCACCAAAGGGTTTATAAAGTACTTTTCCAACAAGTTGCTCACTCTAGTAAGTACTTCTCTTTATAAATAAAACTAGCTTTCTTTAAAAATATAAACTGCGATATATTTAAATTTATGCTAAAAATCATAAAGTTAAAAGGCAAATAAACTGGAATGCAGATTATCACAAATACACAGATGGTTACTAAACGTAATATTTAATGAACTCAAATAAACTGATAAGAACCCAAAGATGCTGTAGGCTGTTTTCCTACCAGGCATTGTCCTACAACTATTAGATGACAAGCCAGCCAACTAGCCCAGATAAAGAGTTTAAAAGTCAGAATTCTCTCCCAACACAATATTCAGAATATTTATCCGTTTATCCTTTTCTTCATGAAATTAACTGTTTCATAAGCTATAAGACTTTACGTCATTGGTGCAGATGTATTAAATCCCATCTCCTCCCCTATCCAAGTAAAATGACTCTCCTAGAGCACTTTATTCCCCTCTATCTTTCCCTAAAGGGTTCCCATCATTTTTCAGTTCTCAAATTCAATGACAGAAAGAATGACAGGCAGCAAGAAAGAAAATTCACAAATATCTTTAGGCTTGGTACACTCAGTATCTTCTAATTCTCACAATCTGAAGTTCCAAACCATTTGTCTATAATCGTCTACTGCCTATTCCTCAAATCTCAACTTTCTACATGATTTTAAAACTTTTCTCTCTCTGTATAGTCTTTTAATTACAATTCTCTGCAACTTCCATTTCATATCTAAGAAAGTACCTTACCATTCATTACTTCATACTGATTGATCTTCAATAGCCAGCACCAAAATGGTCACTTCCTGAAGTCTGTCAACACAACGAATGAATGACAAGACACTTCGCCAAATCTGAGTCTTCTAACTTTTCTTCTGACACCACGAATTCTTTAACAGTCACCTTTGTCTCTACTAAACTTATCCATTCTTGTTTAAATTATTCCAGCCTTTCTCTTCCCCTAATATCCTTTTACCACCTTAGACTTTTTCACACTAATCTATCACTCCTGGAATACCAAAAGACTCCTTTAACTTAGCGTCAACTCTGCCACTTCAATTCCGTTCCGTTCTAGCTCTCTTCTACAATTTCTGTACTTGCTCTTAAGCATTGGTGGACAAACATATCAAAATAGCAAAGACCTGGCTAATTAAATATTCACAGGTTCAAGTACAGCCTGGCCCTTAGACTTGGTTTGCCATTCCTTCTTTTACACTTATCTTACTTACTGACTCCTTTGCACAAGATGGTAATAGTTTCAGACCTTGTTCTGTAAGCTTCCAATAACATCCTTCCCCTGTTTACCTCAGCACGTGACTTCACCCCAGATTTGCTTCTGAAAGAAACACCAGATCATCAACATTCCTGTCTTTCCGTCTACCCATCTGTCTTGAGATCTTTTGCCTCTAGATTCAAATATAGCTCACCAGATCATCAAGGTAATTGCTACTAATGCTATTCCACACTATTTCTCAAAGGACTTGTCAAGTGTATATCCTTATCCTGAACAGCCTGCAACTCCTTAATTAACCCTTTAACCTTCAAATATGCTTGTGCACTATCTGTAAAAAAAATAAAAGCCACCCTTCCTTTGATTCTGCTTCCTCTTCTACTTATGGTACTATCTCCTTTTCGCTGCCATTTTCATTAAATGAAACATCAGATTCCTTCCTATTACCACTGAATCCAAGTTCCCCTGTAATTTCTACCAATCTATTAAAATGATTCAAATATCAAGAATTATTGCAATCACCAAAACTAATGACTTTTTTAAAAATTTGTTTTCATCCTCTTTGACTTGTCTGTGAAATTCTGTCCACAGATTGCTTTTCTTCTCCATAGCTCACCAATATTCTATTAATACTTTAAGTTTCATGTACGTATCAACTCCGAATTCAATTTGGAGGGAATTCCCATATGCTGATTAGTATTTAAAAATTCTAATTCTTGATCTCTGACAACAAGGAGCAGACAGAAGAGTTACAGAAACACTAAGTTGTAATAACCATTACCAACTTTCCTCAACACTATATCCTTAGTGTCTAGCACAGCTGACACATTCATTCTAGACACTCAATAAAAAAGTCCATTTTCATCCTTCTTCAAAATTTCCAATATTTTGCTCATGGTGCTCTCTCTTTACATTAGGCAATACTGGTTTTATCTTCTAACTGACCTTTCCTACTTAATATTTTTCACTATATCCTTCCCCTTAAACATCTCCTAACATTAGTGTAAATGGTAGCAAAAGTTGGTAGTAAAATTACAGTAGCCTTCTCTGTGTAAAAAAGAAAAAAATGTCACTCAAAGGCTGCACTAAGAAAGCAGTTATTACCAGAACAAAGATGTGTCTAGAAAAGAAAAATCAGTTTTACCAGAACTGAGACACTGATGGGTCACCTCCTACTCACGTACTGAGATCACAACAGTATCTAATTTAAAAACAATGTTCTAATTATTAGCTTGAAAAAAAAAAAGCCAAGTGAAATGGTAAAGAACTCATTTTTAAAAAGGACATTTTAAAAGGACATTTCATCGTTTGAGTAAAGAAGGCAATTTTCCCAGCGTTTCAGAGCTGTAGTGCCTATAAAAGGTTATCGGTTTGAGTGGACATGAGTACTTTTTACCTTTTATAAGGTTAGGTTCTGGAGAGTATATTATTAACATTAAACCCAAAGAGTGAAATGGAGAGTCAGGCTAAATACAGTGCAATTATAAGCCATATTACTGTACCACTGACACCACTACCCTCTAAAATCATCAGCTCTGCTTTTCGTTAGATTGCATATGTTAAATAAACAGCATATTATTCAACAAAGAATAGAAACAAAGAATTCTTACACTGATATTACCATTAATTTTCCTACAGCTTCTTTTACTATTTTTCACATCAGATGCTAGATCACATTACACAAATATAGGCCATCGAATACAAGGATACTGCACTATTTCAACATACAGTAAGTAATCACTTAACATTGCTGATAGGTTCTTGGAAACTGCAATATTATGCAAAATGACATATAACAAAACCAATTTTACCACAGGCTAATTGATATTACAGAAATAAGAGTTAAGTTCCTATAACATATTTCTAGTCACGAAAACTAGAAACACTCTTAGTGTTTCTAAACACTTCAGTAAATGTAAGCTATGCATACATTTAAGAAAAATTAATAAAAACAAGACAATCATTTACCCATTATTCCAGTAGAGGGTGAAGGATGGCCAGAGCCTATTCTAGCAGCTCAGGGCCCAAGGCAGGAACCCATCCTGGACAGGACACCTTTCCATGGCAGGGCACACTCACACACACACCCACACTCACTCAGACTGGGGCAACTTAGACACTTCACCTATGTGCAAAGTTTTAGGATGTGGGAGGAAACCACAGTACCTGGAAAAAACCCACACAGATGTGGGGAGAACATGCAAACTCCACACAGACAATAGCCCCAGCCAGGAATCGATTTTTTCCTTATTAACATTATAACGAAATGATGTTGAACAAACCAACGATATTCAAGGACCTGCTGTGCTTAGAATAGGTTAAACATTTTATTTCCCCAACTTACAGTTTGCAAATAATCTGCCCTTACCCCAAAACACTTTAAACTTCTCTCAACTATCAAGCCTACTTCTAGCAATAATATAGAAGTATTATAACTAAGGAAACTGGGTTTAGACACAGGGCTTGAGTTAGAATACAGATTCTGACATATTAGAAACATGAGGTTCAAGGATACTATTACTACTTGTGTATGTGAATTAATACAGGTTTTGTGGGCTGACATGGGAACATAACATTATATAACACTGATTTAAAAGGAAAATACACCCAAGTTTCCAAGAAATGTCTTACTGTATTTGACATGTAATCTACTCATAAACTGGACTATGACTGCAATAATAATTTCTTCACAAAAGGATAAATATTGTAACAGAAAGTCTATACTTAAAATTGCACACAAAAAGTTTGAAAGTAAAACTAATGTGGTCAGATTATTTTTTCTATCAAGAAGTACTTTCAATACCTGAAGTTCTCCAAATTCAAAAAAAGTGGCAGGCCTATTTTAAACATACCATCTCTAAAAATCAAAGTACTTGAATTTAGAAATCTTCATTACCCTAGATTTTCTGTTCCATAATAAAAAAGAAACTCGAGCTTTTGAAATTTTACATTTTTATATATTTTCAGGATAACTACACCGAATTCACTCAGAATTTCACCATACTTGAAGGAAATCAATTCCTAAAATTAAACTAAATAAAATTTGGGTTATGTATGTATTTCCCACTTACGTCAAATTAAACTTAAAATTAAACTGCCAAGTTGAAGTTCCTGGAGGGTATTCTCCTTGCTCATTCATAAATGTCAGTCCTAGCTGAATTATCTTTAACAAGTCTACATTACATCGCAATAGTTGGTACTGATAGTCAGCATTGCTCCTGAATTCTCCAATGGGTCTTGCAACCACACCTGGAAACTCGGTGTCCTGTAAAATAGTTTTAAGATTCATTATTTACTACATAGTCACAACCACAATCACAAATTCTTAGAATAATTTTTGATGCAAGTCAAAGAATCCTGTTACAGATGATACTGTACTTCTTCATATTCAATTACAAAGTAACTTTTAACTAGAAAGAACATTACTTTTTAGACCCATAAAACTCTATAAACTTAATGACCTATTCTTACTTTAAATATATCAATAAAAAATTACTATGAATAAGATACCCAGGATAAATGCAACCAAATACTTACTCTATACCCAACAAAGGGGAAAAACATCATAAATTCCTATCTCCCAAGGGGTATGTGAAACACAAAGTATTCCAATACAAACAGTTTCTTGAAGAACTGGTTAAAGAGTGGAAAATGTACCATACTTCTCAACTGCTTCTCTAAGACAAGGTTTATCTCAACATTAAAACTCTCTGAGCAAAGTGTCATTAGCCACCTAATTTCTTTGGCTAAAACAATATTCTCTCTAGAGCCCACAGAAAGCATGTTGTCAAGAATTGCATGCCATCCATTCCTTCCTGTAGGATGTTATCACTATTCTAATGTTGCTACTTCTTATCATCTGAGACATAAATGATCACTATGAATTTTCACCAAACAAAAAAAATTTCAATTCTAAGTATACCTTTATTAAACGGAATGTTATCTATGTACACATATTCATATTTTAACCAATCGACCTGCCCCTCCTCAAAGTGTCCTTATTTTTATTTATTTATATTAAAAATACTGAGGATATGATACATGAGTTTTTAGCATTAGACTCTTTAAACTAGGGCTAGCTAAGACCAAAACCAAAATATCAAGTCAATATGAAACAGTAAAGAAATTAATATTTCTCTCAATTCAGTCCAATTCAACAACCACTTTATTGGATATTCTACATGTTATGCTAAATATGGAGGCAGAAAAGACAATAAGGACACCAACTCTTGCTTTGTGGAGCAAATAATCTAGTAGATCTAGAAAACAGAGTAGCTGCAACAGATATACAAAGTTCAACAGTAAAGAAGAAAAATAACCATGTATAAAGTCTAGGCAGACTGAATAGCACGTGCAGAAGCAGAGTTGCTTAATAGCACAGTATGTTCATGTAACTCCAGTGATAATTTAAAAAAAAATTGCAGGCCAACAACGTTTTACTGGGAGACCTGATTGTTTTGTGTGAGAAAGATATCTGGGAGCTCATCTGGTACTATCACTTAGGCCTTGGTGTTAGTGGGAACTGACCTGGTACTCACAGCTAGGACCTAATGTTCTCCTGTTGAACACAATTTCACAGAACTTCAACATCAGACAATACCACTCTGTTTCATGTCTAAACAAGGACAAAAAAAATAAACAAGGTCCAAACCACAAAAATGAGCAACCATCTCCATCCTGGCTAAATTGAGAGTGACTGTTGCTTCTCTGCAGCTTTAGCATCATTCTAGTCATCTCTCATTTCAATTAAGATACCCAATCATATAATTACTCCAACCTTCTGACAGCATCCTATCCACAGCAAAGTCCTGCTTCCTTAAGCTTTCCCTAAAACCATCTGAAACAAGCCCAAATCCTAAACTCCTAACACTCTCTTACTCAAATGCCACATGGTCCCCAATGCATTTTCCCTCACTGCAATGAATAATAAACCCAACCTATCAAATTAAGGTGTGATCCTGATGGTTTTTGGCTGGAAGGTACTGCCAAATTTTTCTTTTCATGATTAAATTAATCCCTAAAAATCAACCAGAACAGTTGACTCTGAGGCTTAAAAAATTCCTCTTCTTCCCTTATAAGAAACATTTTAAAGATTTGGTCATGGGCATACCATAGCAACGTAATTATACTTTCGAATAACTTGACGAATCTTCTTCATCTCTTCATCCAGGTTGCAAGCCCAAACTTCACAAATTCTTTGGCTATGATCTACAGTTGCTGCTGGCATAGTGAGGGCACAAGGGAGTCTAGATGCCGAGCATCAAAATGTTATACTTGATTGAAGATTTTTTTTCATAAAATATTTTATCCTTTATTTATGTACCTGTCAAAACAAAAACCAAAATAAAAACCAGATATATCAGAAATCTCAATCACAGAATAATTGATTTGGTAGAAACCTAAGAGTTATTTATTCAAAATCCTTGATTCATAAGAAAATCTAAGTTTAGGAAGTGACTTGTCTAAGGTCACACAGCTAATGTGTTGGAAAAAAAGGACAACACAGATTTCGTCATTCTAATTTCACTGTCATTTAGAAATAGTGTTTTTTAACGCATGCATACTAATCATATTTTAATAACTTTCCACTAATTAAAGATTGCTCTGAGTTCAGCTCACCCTCAGCATGAAACTTTGTGAAGCCATCCATTTCCAGATAAAACAGAGAAATTATATACATGTGACAAGATGTCACCGTGACAAAGATAATGTTTCCTTTTATACTCCTCACTGATATTCAAAGTTTGACTTGATTATAAAAATCTACTGGAATTTATTCAAACCAGATTGGAGAAAACAAAAGTAAAACAATTTTTTAAAGATGCTGTCTGACAAAAAAGTAACAGCCACAGAAACTGTTTAACTGTTTGTAACTGCAGGAGGGAGAAAGGGCAACAGAATGTCTAAATTTTAAACTGTTTCTTTCTAATTTCCTAAAACTTGGAGGATTTTCCCTGGTTACTAAGGACAGATCTCACATTCCTGGTCCATAAAACAGGGTTCATTCATGCTACATAATGATAACAATACAGACCAACACACGGATTCGCGGGCAGGAAAATTCCAAATGCTCCTTCATTTTTCACATAAATTTGAAAAAAAACATAACAATGGTAAAAGAGGAGGGTCTTGTGACTGCCTTCTAAATTGTGAAGAGTCACAAATGTAACCGCGAATGCTCTTAAGAAAAGAAACCAAAGGAGATCCAGGACACCCCTCCTTTATAACTCTCCCCACCCAGAGAAACACATAAACATACACACACTTGGAAAGATCCTGTAGTTTAACGTTGCTTCCCTCCACCTCTCTCTCTACTACAGTTCCAGAAGCTCCGAAGAGGCACCAAAGGCCTTCTCATTACTAGAGGTACCATCTCCGTACTGCATGCTCCCAGAGAAACGAGAGGACAGCAGCGGCATTCAAGTCATAGACAACTCTCTTCCCTGGCAGAGAGACAGTGCGAAGGTGCTGGTAACATTTACTGGAGCCACACTGGTTCCCAAACACTGCAGCGTGAAGGTGCAAGAGCTGAGGATCTAGGCCACCGCCCTCCACTCCCAATTTCCGTCCCACATCCAAGCCCCAGGTACAAAGCCTTTACGTCATCACTCCGCGCCAACCCCTGGACGTACCCCCAACCCTCGTTACCCTCCCCCTACCAGCCGCTAAGCGCTTTCCTTCGCCCGCCGCACTCCAGCTGGCGCCATCGCGCACCCTCTCGGGTTCATCGTTCCCGCCCCGTTTCTACTTCCCCAACCCGCCCTTCCCCCCGTAGGGCTGCGGCAGAAGCAAGATCTACTTGTGTCGCTGAGCTCGCGCTCCTCCTCCTCCTCCTCGCCATAGAGACAGCACTCGGCGGCGGTGGTGGTGGCGGTAGCGGCGGCGGCAGCGGGTGCCCCATAGACACCTCTCACCCAGCAAGGGGGAAAGGGGAGCCGGAGCTGCGCTGCGCCGTGCTGCGCCGTCGCTTTTCGCACGTCCTGGTGGGGGCGCTAGATGATGACGCGGACACGCAGAGGGGGCGGGGCGCGCGGGAAGAGGGCGGAGCACGCAGGTGACGGAAGCTGTGGTGCTGGAACGCTGGTCAGTCAGGCTGTCTGAGTGCCTGTCCCGGACGGCAAGCCGCCCCTCTCCGGCTGTCCGCGGTTGTGGCATGTCTCCCAGAACCCGGGCAGCGCAAGCCGGGTTTGCTTAGAGACGACGCGGTCCCCCCAGCGCTTGGGCCACGGGCGTCCAAGCCCGCTCCTCTGTGGCTGGAGAACGGCCGGGCCGAGCAGCTGAGAGAAGCAGGCCAGAACCTTCTAGGGCCTCGGGCCCGGGGACCCGAGGAGGATGAGCTGGCTCTTTCCCCTGAGCAAGAGTGCCTCCTCCTCCGCAGCTGGGTCCCCCGGTGGCCTCACCAGCCTCCAGCAGCAGAAGCAGCGCCTGATCGAGTCCCTCCGGAACTCACACTCCAGGTGACTGGTTACTGCCTCTTCCGACTGAAGGAAGAAGTAGGGCGGGAGGGCGGGCTGGTCCCAACCACCCTCACAGCTCGTCAGGTCAGCTGCCTGCCCGCTGCCTCGTATTCCTCCCTTGCTTTTGGGTCACACGCGAGCCCTCCCGCTCTGCCTCGTGTTTTACTCTTTCCCTCCGGACCCTCCCTGCCTCCCGCCCTACCACTTCTCAGCTCTTCTAATACGGATTTGCTCATCCCTCCCGACACAGCCTGCAATCCCTCTCATAGCCTGTGTCCGACATCCTTTGCTCTCCCCGGCGTCCTCACTAACCTTTCCCTTCGCCCACCTGGTTGCCGCGTTGGCGGAATCGTTAAAATACTATTACTTGGCGAAAGAGAATCGCCAAGAGTAATCGAGTTGCACAAAGGATGGAAAATAAAACTGTGGCAACATTAAAGGAGAGGGAAGCCAAAGTTTTCATCAGTGAATTCTTCTGGAATGAGAGTGACATAGTTAATCCTCTTGAATCTCTAAGTTAAGATTTACTCCGTTCCAACAACCTCCCCAGCTCTGGCAGCTGTCAGTGTCTGTACATTTCTCACTTCTTTAATATTCTTGTCCTCACACTCAGGAATTGTCTTAGATGCATGTTGATCGTTCTGTTGTCTTCCTGAGGTTTTCATTTTATCACGGTCCGATTAGAAATATTTTGCAGTTCAAATGATTTCACCTGTTTTTACTGTAAACTGCTGCAGCCTTTTATATTGCAAATGCCTGTGGCCTCAAATGGTTTTCAAAAATTAGAAGTGCATTTTTATATGAATTCTGGACATATATTTACTTAACAGTTTTACGGTATTTTGTGTAAAGATGTCAACATTGTTAAGCCCTAACGCTTTTTGAAATGATTTTTTCATTTAAAAATTATATATCCTGAGATAATAAATGGAATAAGTCCTGTTGATCAGACGCTAGGGGTCATTTTATCTGTTACACTTTAACAATTTTTTTTCCAAGCAAGTAAGTTATAGAATAGCTTTAAATTAGATATACTGTTAAAAAAAAAATTCACTGCGAAATCAGTTTGGCTAAAATGAAGTCTGTTGCTGACTGAACTTCAGGTGTTTCTCGGTTCTTTGGACTGTTTGTTCAGAACTTTTGTGACATTTAACAGAAAAACGTGGCTGGCTATTAATGGTAGCTTTCATTTTGGAAAATTAAGTTCACAAAGTTCTTTCAAGTCAATCTTATTCTAAATCATGTTGTGTAGTGACCTGTTAAGAGCTACTCTCACAAGATATGCTTATAAAATAAGGTGACTCATTTTTAACGTAAGTTTGTCCACTTAGAAGTCACCTTGGAAGACTATATACTGTACTAGATGTATTGCAGAAACACTTTTGGCATTAATTGCTTTTAAGTCTTTGGTATACAGTATTATGTTAAATATTCTCAGTGCTGGCAAATTTTTTCTTTGAGGCTGAGTTAAATTTTTTAAATACTCCAGAGTCCCTTGCTGCTTCTTAGTAAATAAGGGAAGTGATCTGAAATTTATATTTTTGGCTTCTCAAATAGAGTTTCTAAAGCAGGAATTGTCAATCTAAGGAGTTCTGGAATGGGTTAAAAGGGTCAGTAAATACCCTAAATTGAATGCAGAAGTTATCCATTTTATATATTATTTGTTGAGCCAGAAATTATAGACATGTGATTGGACGTGTGACATTAGCTGCATATTTTGTAGTGCTGTGAACATATAACTTTACTCTTTTAAGTTATTTTATAAAAACACTTAAAGTTTCACTTAACTGAAATAATTTCACATTTAGAAATGATACGTAAATAATTCTGGAGACATTTAAGTAGGTCATGTGTTTCCAGTTTTCAAAGAATGACACAATCCTAGAAAAAATGCCAAACACCTGTTGTTAAGTCCACCGTTTTAAATACTGGTATTTGTTTTTGAGCCAGCTGGTAAAAATTATCTATCTTTGCAGTTTCTGATGTAGAGGCAGAAAACAGGTATGATATCTTTCCTCACCCATCGTGAGGGGTATGTATGTGGCCAATACTCCTATAACAAAAGACAGGTTAACAAGAGAAAGACATAAAAAATTTATTTAATCAAAGTTTTATAAGGCATGGAAGCCTTCAGAAATGACCCAAAGGAAAACTATCTATTTTTATGCTTAGGGTCAATGAAGAACATGTAGAAATGTGATTGGACAAAAGGATATTACGCAGTAGTAATGGAGGTGGGGGAAACCTAGCAAGGCCTACCTGTTAGGATTCTTCTTGACCTCTCTGGTGTAGCATTCCTTCCTCCAGGGTATGGGGCAGGACGCATCTAGAATGTGAATATTCAAGAGAAAAAGGAGAAAGTGACTTTTCTAGGTTTTATGCTGTCTTTGGGTAAGAGGGGTTCTAGTTTCTGTGACCCACCTTGGGGAAGAGGAATTCTAGTTTCTATGACTTGCTCTGGGGGAGAAAGAGGTGGAAGACAGGAGAGGAAGAGGTCAGAGAGAGACGCTGCTTCTGAGGCCTTTCAGTCTCCTTAGTTCAAAGTACTCAGCATGTCCATAGTTTGGGGTATCGTACTATATAGTACTATTTATACTTAAATATTTTTGTGCAGACACCGAGATTGTTTATTCTGCAGGTGTGCTCTGTAAAAATTTAAAGAATGTTCAAATGGTTTTTTATGAATAATACAAAAACTTGCCAAATTATTAATGTTGGTATCTTGTTGCATGCTGCCCACCTCCCTCATGTTTCATAGTCTGTCTCTTTTCCAAATGTCAGGTCAGTAGGTCTTTTCTGACAGTTAAAATATCTGACTTTTTTTCCATCTGCCTGACTGAGTAATCTTTCTCTACCTCCATTCTTTCACCTCCCTTCCAACTCTTTTTTAACTCCTTATAACTCTGAAAAATCCACTTCAACAGAGTCTCTTTAAATCCCTTTCTCATAATGGTTGTAATCTCCTTTTTAGTTACCTTAAATTCTTACCTCCTCATCTTCCTCAGGCCTCTCCAAAAGATTAGGTGAATTTTATGTGTATTTCCTCATCTAAGTCTCACTGGTATGTTACCAAAAGTTCGGTACTTGTCCCTGAGGACAGATCAGTGAGAACAAAGTGTGAGGACAAGTGGTTTGAGGAAAACGAAAGAGACGTTTATCAATTTGCCAGCAAATGAGGAGGGCAGTGGACTAATGTCTCAAAGACTGCCATCTTGTCTTTAAGCAAAAAACAAGGCTTTTTAAAAGGAGGAATTCGGTGGTTGGGCTCAGTTCCGTGTGACCAGTGAAACGGATTGTGGCTTCAGGCTATTGTTGTTTAACATATAATTTGTGGTTTCAGTCAATCTTATCTTCAGTGACTATGATCTCATGACCCTTATCTGGATAATTCTGATGAGCCCTCTCCTGTGGTTTAAGATAAACAGCAAAGAACATTTTTCTATCTCTTTGATTACTGGCCTCAGAGAAAGAGTGAAGGTTTTAATTCCCAAAAAGGGTGGGGAGTTTTAAAGAGACAACTCATAAAACATTTCCTTACCCTTTTTCAGACCTTTACCTCTGTTACAGGTATGCAGGGCAACTGGGAAACTGTCATAGATGACCCAAAAAAGCATTTAGCCGAAGCATAATAACATGTTTAAGTCTGCTATGAAAATAGAAACTAGAAGTTATATAGATGAGGCTAAAGTAATATATTCTATCTTCTGAGTAATAATTATCACAGTATTCAATTTACAACAAAAATTCCTGAATTTATGTGCAGAAGTAGAACTAATTTTGCTCTTTCTTATACTTCCTGAAGAAGCTCACTTTATGGGACACTGTTGGTTTCCCACCCAAATCCATTTCCCCTGACTTCTTAGAAGAGCACTTTTTAAAATTTGTTTTCCCCTCTGCATGGCCACATACTTAGTGGAGGCTGGGATCTTTCACCCCCAGGAGGTGAATAATGATTGTTTACACCAGTGATGATGGTCTTATCCACACCCCACACCCCAAGTTGTTGTGGAAGCAAGACTCTTGGTTAGTGGGAATTAGAGGGGAAGTCTGTTCAAGATGTTTTCTCAATAGTAAAAAGAAATGTCTGGGAGGAAGAAATGTCTCTTTTATATTTTGGATATTGTTACATGGGCCATCTGGAAGTGCATGAATCATGAATGAAGACAAGGCTGACTGCCGAATGTGATAGAATAGAAAGGTGTAACGTCCATGATAATGTTTTGCTGCTAAATTAACCAATTCTGGAACCTCCCTGCCTCTGTACTATTTGTTGTTTAAGATAATAACTCCTCACTGTTAAAGCCAGCTTCACCCTAGTTTTCAGTTACTTGCAGCTGAAAATATTCCAAGTGATACACTCACTAATCCCAATGTCTAAAGATTCTTCAGAAGCGAAACTAAGTATTTCCCTGCATTGCTGCTGTAATCAGAAAATAGTAAAAACTGATGGTCTGAATAGTGACTGTGCCAACTATACAGGTTTCTCTTCTCTCACAATATTTAAAGTTAATTAGCTTCTTTATTATTTTATTTCCTTACCTCTAAACGACAACCTGGAGTTGCGAGTGGTAATTATTATTTGTAATTAACCAATTAACAAATTAATTTATTTGTAAATTCAAAGATATATAAATAATAACCTTCTGCATTCATTTCAA